TAACTGTACCTCTTTCCCATTGTTCCCAATTACAAAATAGTGGCTCCATCCTAGTTATCAAATAGAGATTCTATCTTAGTTACAAAAAGATAATCTATCTAAACTCTAAAGCAAATAATCTTGCAAGTTAAAATCATAATCGCTTAAGATATCTTCAACTCCATCATGGTAGTCAAAATCGCGGTTTGCCGCGTAAGATCGGACGAGTTTACGATCGTCTTCACCAATTTCGTGCTCGTGCTTGCTTTGGATCGCAAAATGTGCGGATCGTACTGGATCGTCGTGCTCGTGCATGTCATGCTTATAAAATTTTACGTTGAAGTTACATGTGTGATTGTTTAAAGTTTCTAAGAATTTGTTGCATGAAGTGAATATATTAATCAAGTGTAATTCAATAAATGGATTTCTTAAAGTAAATTTTCCAGTAGTTATCACATAGTGCCAGTATGTAAGTTTTTAAATTGATTTCCACAGATCCTAACTGCATGTGTTTGTGTATGTGAGAGAGTCAATGAATACACACACAGTTGTAAAGTTTCTTAATTTCTAAGTTTGCATGCACTTTTCAAAAAGATAGTTTTTTTTTTTTTTTTTTGCTAAACAAAGTCAATATTATAAAGGAAAAACACAGCACAAGATGTGCCTGAAAAGAGTTAAAAGTTTACAAAGCTGATATAAAACACCCTCTCTCAAGTAGGAAAAACAAATGATACCCCAACTCTTGACCTCCTTAAACACACCTATCTCTTACCTAAAATTCTTCATATGGTATTGCCAAAGAGCCTTTTGGAATTGAAAAAATTGCTGCACAAATGTGTTGTTGCTGCACAACAGGCAAAGAAACAGAAAATTCTGGTTTAAAAAACAGGCACTTGATGGAGCAGAATAGATCCCACATACTGTAGAAGCTATAAAAGTTTCTAAGATTGTTATCCTTCTGTGCAGCCTAAAAAAGTTTCTAAAACTATATTCCACTTATTTATGGAGACGGAAAAAAAAGGTAGTTAATAATACGCCTAAAACATGCATATTAATTAATGCCCTAAGATTCAATAAATGCATATAAACCTTAGTTTGATTGAAATGAATCTTTGTAACATTCCTTTTGTCACTTATCATCCCATTTGATTGTTGGATACTTTTCTATATCATCAACAGTTTGAGGGTTCAGAAGTTGTGAAAGAACAAAACAACCACTTTTCAGGTATCAATAATGTACTGTGTACAGAGTCATACTTTGTTTATGAGATATAAATTCTTTCTTGTTAAATTGAATAATAAAAATGTTTATTTTCTATCAGAAGCCTTGAGCAAAGAAACTGATCAATCTTCTCTAGTATAGAGAGAACGGTGTTTGGTTCTCCGTACAGCACAAGCCATTACTATCTTTTATAATATTTCCTACCCCGTGATCTTAAAAATGCTGGAAAGGACTTGAGATGGTTGCAAAGAGAGAAAATTGTGAAACTGTGATGCAAAACCATTTAGTTGGCCTCCTAATGAAAAAAACAAACTGCTTTTTAGATTCTTTGTTGAATAATGAAGGCTTCAAATGGAAATTTCTTCGGATATCCAGAGAAATTTGCTCAAGAACCTTGAAAATTATTATTTTTCTAATAGCTAGTCTTTCAACACATATTTCTGCTGAAATCAAGATTATCAGCAATACATGTTTTGTGCGATATTTTTTGTTCTTTAAGTGTTTTTAAGAATTGTGATGGTAATGTTTGTTAATAATTTCTATGGATTTGCAGCATTCATGATAAACCACATGACATGGGGTGTTGCTGGTGCCGAATCATTTTTAGAAGTTGACGTTAAGTTGAATCTCACACTTGAGGTTTGTCTTATCTTCAAAATATATAAATATTACATGTACTGTTACATCCGTTTCTGTTTCTCTTTCTTGGGATGGAAGAGTTGTAATCCTGAACTTTATGATGATTGAATCCATTTTCAAGGATCATGAAGGCGTGATCTTCCTTACTTGGACCAACCTCATTTAAATTATATTGTAGCCTCATGGGAAAGAAAGTCCAGGGTTTCGGTTGAATTTTATTGTTGTGAATGTGCAATTTCTGGTTTGTTTCTTCTCAAAGAAAGTGACGAGTTAAGCTGACCTATTCCTCCTTAATTCTTACTAATTCATTTTCTGTAGCTGCATATGCTAAAAGGTCAATGGTTTTGAATTAAAATTTGTTGCTATTACTATATTAACTGTATTTCAGTTTGATATTACTGATTTTTGCATTTGCCTCTCATCTGTAAAAGAATGATCTCTGTCTGCAGATTTACACACGTCCATTTACCATGATGCCTACTTCAGCTGTTGAGGGTCCTGGAAATATGTGAGTTGTTTGGTAAATAGTATTAATTTTATCCTTTTAGGTTTTGTACTCTACATGGTCAAGTTCTCGGATGATACATAAAGTATTGCATATATATTCTCAATTTAAAATTACCAACTACCAACTATTGTAGGCCATAGATGTTGATGTTGTGTCTAATTTTAATTTTGGCCTCTACTTCATGGGAAAAAGGAAGATATACAAAAGCCACTTGTTGGAAATTTAAAGATTCTATAACACTAGAAGATAAAGTTAATATGCGGAGTTGAACACTAACATTGTAGTTAACTAGCTGTCTATTCCTTCGAATTTTATTGTGGACTAAATTTAGGGAGAAATCTTCAGCCACTATTTTTCTGATTGATGGCTTAGTTTCTCCTCTTCCTCCTTACTGATGTAGCCTTTGTGAAACCATAGAGGTTTATTATCACCAAGTAAATCTTTCACCTAAACAGTGCTCTTACAGATCTGCCAGGTTGAATAAGCTTCCTAATTCAGTATTGATATTATGACATTAGATATTATATTAGTAAATATTGATATGAATTTCCAGAAGATTTTTCAGGATGTGCACCAAAGTTCTATTTTGCTATGGATTCTGTTTTAACATAAATGATAAGAACTCAAAAGTTTATGCAAGGTGATTGGAAGCATATTCAGCAATTAACTTACGTATATGGTGTACTCTCTGGGCTCCATACATGAGGCCCTACGGAAAAAAAAAAGAAAAAAAAAAAAAGCTTTTATAATTGGATTTTGAATGAGAAATTAAAGGTTGGGGTTTAGAAGACAAAAGAACATGGAACTCTTAAGGGAATTTGGTGAATTTTATTTTCCTTTCAACTTTCTATATACTTTATTTATGCTTTTGTGTTCAATGATTTTTTTCTTTTAGAGGGTTAATTAGGGGCCTATTTAAATTTATGACCCTCCTATTTAGCTTGTTCCAAGAAGTTTCACTCTCAAACTTATTCATAAGTTTCATTTGATAAGAACTTATTGAATAAAATATAACACGTCTTTAAGTATGAAAAATAAGCAGATTTTTTTCCCTTTTTTTTCTTTTTTTGTGTGTGGTCTCCTTGTACTCAAAGTATGTCTTACTTTTGTCTATTACTTTTTAATTAGTTTAGGAAGATTAATCTCTTTTGGCTATGTACAGAATGATGCAAGTTTTGATGGACAAGCTCGTGCCACTGCTACTTCAGCAGATGCTACAAGATTATGATGAATGGGTTAAAAACCAATCATACTCTCTAAAATCAGGATTCTAGGTTGGAGAAGTTAAATGTACAAAATTTTTGGTAGAGGAAGAACTGTTGGTGTGTGGTGAGAATTTGATTTAAAAGAGACCTGTATTAAAAACTGCATCCATGTAAAAATCGATGGATTATTTTATATTTATCTTTTGTAAAAATATATTTTTTATTAGAAGAGCATAATCAAATTTTATTCATAAAATCTCTATTTATAAAAAAAAAAAAAAAATTGTGATACAAAATAAGGAAATAAATCTTAAAATAATCAAAATAATTAAATATAAATATTTTAAACATAAATAAAATATTTATTTTTTCTAAAAATATTTAAACATATTTCCAACAAAAATTACTCTCAGAAGCGGCTCTTTGTTTGTTCTATTTTTTAATATTCTATCTAGTTTGGCAAGAAATGGTACTGGTACAAACTTTTCAAGTATTATAGCAACGTTGGGATGCACGAATAAAAGCATAATGAAGAAGAGTGTGTAAATAACAATAAAATATTTTTTTTTTCATTACAAGGCGTTTTTATCAAATGTATTAGTCGGAAAATCCGGTAAAACCGAATTTGTACGAATTATTATATAATGTATTTACATTAGTTTAATTTTTTTTCTATTTTATTTTTTAAAAAACAAAATAACTTTTTAAAATGAATATTAACAATTCAGCAATAAAAATTATATCAATAATGTGTAAATGTATATAATTGATATCTACATTAAAAATAAATATATATTATTAAGATTAAACTTTAATTTTAATTGGATAATAATATCAACAATATCTAAAAGAAAATTATACCTAAGTTTTGTCATATTAAAAATTGCATTCATTGTATTAACATCTTAATGAAAAAATAATTAGAATTAACCCGAACATGATGCGGATACTCGGGTATCTCTATAGATAGCATTTCATACAGAAATTTGATGGCTAAAAATTGATTACAATATAAAATTCACTTGAGTTATCAAAACAATGTATTTAATATCATATTTTACTCTTAAGAACATAACACATTTTTTCCATTTAACCAGCAAATGATGCAAAAGTATTTACAAAAACTTATTAATACCAAAGAGGATACTCACACTGTGATAGATATCGGCTTCCTATTTGGAGGGTGTACAGTAGGAGAAAGTAGGGGATTAAATTGTATCAAAATAACTGAATGTATTAATTAGAGAGTTATGTGATGTATAAAAAGGGGAATAATGGTCTGTATAGGAATCTTTGGAAGGATCATTGAATGGAGGATAGTTGAGGTCTCTCGAATACCTGAAAACAGTTGCTGAAATAAAATTCATATTTCATTGTTTTCCCTTCTTTTCTCCATTTCTGGATCAGTTCTATCACACTGATAGTCTCATAGCTTTCCGTCAGACACTGTCATGAGTCATTTTATTTTATCAGGTTGCAACTGCAGAAGGCGCCGAATTACTAAATAAATAAATAAAAATAAAAAGTAGTTGAAAATGATTGATAAAGCATGGGAAAGGTCATGTCTTCAGATCCAAAATCTGTGTCCATGTCACTCCAATTGTCATTCCATTTTTAATGACACATTTACACATTTGTCAGTACTAATTTCAGTACACAAGGGAAACCTCAGAAGAATTTCCCCAAATCAAGTTTTCTTGAACTCCAACAGTAGTGGTGAATCTTTCAATTGCAGGAAATTTGCACACAATTGATACACATTCACCAGATCAGATGATACGTATAAAAGAAATGTTATGTATTTTACTAAAAATATTAACCGATTAATTCAAAAACTTGAGATTTTGATTGTAACCAACATACTGAGTTCTTTGGAAGGACCAATTGTTGGATCAATGTTGTTAATTGCATTAAGGAATTCCTTGAATCCACAATCATGACTACATCCACTCTGGTTCATGCTGACAGCATGTATCCTACATCCTCTAGTAATCTCTGCCGAGTCTCCAATTAATTGAACTTGAGTTAATATTATGCAATTTTTATGCATTTTATTTTTATTTGCATACAACTAACATTTTTATACATATATAAAATTGTTACATGTCATATATTTTAACTGCTATGCAACTCCCGCTGTTTGTCCGAGACACTATCCGCTATGATATAACAGATTATTGGCTTTCTACCATTTTCCGCAATTCGCGATTGATAACAGTTTTTGATTCAGGCACAAAGGATAAGTAATCTTATAATTTGAGTAATTCATTTCAAAAGGTAATAAAAGGGAAGGGAGGGGAATTTCTTGTGCTTACTAGACAAATTGGTTAGTAAAGTAACAGGAATATAGGAAGGAGTGTCTGACAAGCATGCCTGGACAATCAGTTATTGACAGAATAGTTTTCTATAAGTAGGCAAGGGCTCTGGTTGTCTCTTTTGCAAGAGCTTTGGATCAGTACCTTTCTGGAATTGAATAACACTCAGTAGTTTTTGTTCCTGGTCTTCTATTAGTTAGAGTCCTAATTCTATAATTACATCAGTAACAAGGACACACAAAGTGTCAAATGCAACAACCAAAAAAAAATCTTAAAACTGAGGGGTCAGACACGGTCCGTTAAAACTAAACACAAAAGAAAAATCATTGTCTTTCATGCATATAACAGCCACACTATTCCACTCTTGCAAATATACAACACCTGCAGTAGATTTTTCTTTTTTTAAATATTACCAGTCATAGTCTCATCGCATAACACAATTTGAAACAAGCACGCATGAAAAATATTTCAAACACATTACATCCTTCAAAAGCAAAGTACAAGACAACTGACACATCTAATTCAAAAAACATTAAAGCAGCAAATAAGCATTCTCAACGTTTGGATCACAGTTCATGAGTCACTATCATCGCCTCTCTCACTTGAACAGAGAACCTAGTATCTGGCTCTTTTGGAGTAATCTCCACGGCTATCCCTCTCATAACCTTTATTTCCCCGCTCTTCC